CTCTCTCTCTCTCTCTCTCTCTCTCTCTCTCTCTTTTCTCCCCTTCGATGACCGACTTCTACACCAACCCTAACACACGTGCAATGCATGTGACAAGCTCAAGATAAGAATATTCCTCTTTTCTTTATTTTTTTCTCTTTTTTCTTTTATTTTTTGTGTACAAGAATATTAAGATTATTAGGATTTAATCTATTCAACTATTTTCTCTCTATTTGACCATATATAATTATTAATTATACCATAAGCAATATTTACTAATTTATGGGTGCTCTCTTAACAGTGGGCCTTCTCACGCAATAAACAGCCCACCTCAGTAGGGCCACATAATTTAGAAGCTTGATTATCATATCCAAAATTATGAAAAAAAAGATGGAATTTATTCCTTGAAGACATTAACATTCATCAGTTGAATGTAGCCAAATCAGAAATACAGGGGGAAACAAAAAAGGAATGCATGAAATTAATTCCCCTATACTGTTGATTATCAAAAAATAAATAGTTAATTAAGAAAATATGAAAGGAAAATAAGCTTTTGGAATCTGCACCAACAATATCAACGTCATAATTACAAAACCATGCAAAGCAAGCAACTTGGAGACCACAGTATCATCATTTTGGTAATAACTATGTCCACGCACTACAAGCTCGACCTTACTTGCACAAGAATCTTAACTATATCCACGCAACTTGGAGGCACGAAGACGCCACTACTACACTACCTCGGTCCACGCAACTTGGAGGCCGGCCGAGGAAGGCGCCGGTCGCGGCCTCGTGGCCATGGGCCTCGTCGCTGGCTCGTGGACCACCCTGGGAAGGGAGGCGTGGGGGAGGGTGTTCACCGGCGACGGGGAGGTCCTCCAGCTCACGAAGGCCGTGCCGCCGGTGATCGGGCTATACGAGCTCGCAAACTGCTCGCAGACGACAGGGTGCGCTGTGCTAGAGGCAGCGCCCTGCCGTCGGTCGGCGCCGAGCGCCGGTAGCGCTGGTGCTGTGGTTCGATTGGCTTTCTGGGCCTCAGCCTCGGGCTTCTAGACATGGACTGGGAAGGCGAGGCCCCGAAAGCGGTGGGCTTGGTGGGGACGATGGCAGCCATGATGTGTAACGTCATGTATGTGATGTATGCCTATGTGATGCTATCATGGGGGCTGTGATGGGTTGGCCAAGTGATGGAAGTACTCCCAATTCAAACTGGTGAGGCTCCCAATTTAATAGAAATAAAAAGCAATCTCGAGACCTAAATTAGATGATCGATACATATGCTTGCAATTAAATTGAAAGTAAACATGCCATGCAGGAACTGTATCTCAATTGGAGTCATGAAAGTTAAAATTTGCTTGCGTGGAAGTCAAATCCACATCACAAGGACATGATGCGGCATATTGGATTCTCTCTTCGCCCATGGGTTTTAGGGCCCACAACCAAATAATTCTGTGCTACAAAAAATGCCTTACTCGGTACCTGATTGATATATCTAGTGAAACTGACGTAGCTTCCACGCATGCACTTGATCTAGAATATGGGTTCGTACATTCAGTCCCAGGCTGGATTCATCACAGTAGGGATAGACGTGCCACGCAAGAAACAGGACCAAAAGGCCGCTGAGTGGGTCCCTTCCCCGTGCGACAGAGGACACGCGGAGGACAGAGAGCGCTAGAAGTCAATAAATCCCCACTAACGCACGGATGCGTCCTCGGCTTACGGTTCACACCCTTCTCTAGTTCACTTGTTTATGATGGTCATGCTCGCCCATACCTTAGCCTACTCCGGGCAATCACGTAATTATGTGATCATATTTTAGTACATCGATGGTGTTCGATGTGGTTACTACCTACCAATTCCCAGATCAAAATATATAACATGTCAGTTGTTACCAGGCCTACTTCCAGAAACACCACATGCACGGGAGACATAAATAGGGCTTAATGTGCAGTCTCAGCCACATTACAGAGCATCCCAACTGTAGAAATCATGGTGAAAGCAAAATGCAGGAAATGCATCTAAGAGTAGAATCAGAGCCCACTAAAACTAAAACAAGGGGCAAGGGATTCCCAATATGCTTTCCACCGCCTGCCAATCCACTTTCTCCTGTGGCAACTCGCTACTTGTCTGATTCATATTCTAGTGTTTCTGAGTGCACCATCCATTCACGATGGGAAGGCATCAATCACCCACTGATTCAACAAGCTTCCCAAACAGATCAACACAGCATCTCCCATTAATATACCCACTAAAGACAACCCAGGGACCATTTCCCCAATTACCATCAGAGCATGCACGCACTCCACCCCCACCGTGTTCCTACGGAGCAGCAGACGCAGCCTTCTTCCTTAAATACGCTCTCCCTTTCCCACCCCCTCAGAAGATGATGAAAATAAGAAACAGAGTAGGAGTGGGAGTAGTGTGCGCATGGCGGGTTTAAGCGTTCTATTAGAAACCCAAGAGACGTTCCCAAAAGACACCCATATCATAAGCAAAATTTCCCTCAAGAACTATACTTCCTCCTTAACTTCTTCTTGTTCTACCCGGAGGAGCACTTTTCTGGAAGACTGTTACCTCTGCAGGAGAAGACTTCAACACGGCAAAGATATCTACATGTACAGGTCAGGAACCAAAGAGAAGTTTCTTTCTTCTACAGTTCAATATGTTCCCGGAGTGTCCCTGAATGGGGGCATTCGGGGAACGGGAACACTGTTTCTCTCACTCTCAGGGGTGTTACTTAGCTGGCTTCTGACTTAACATTACTGCAGAGGGGACCGAGCCTTCTGCAGCGAAGAGTGCCGGCGCCGGCAGATATTTATGGACGAGGAGAGCGGGAAGAGAGACAACTGCTCCCTGGCCACCGCGGCGAGCGGGAAGCACCCGGTGGGGCGCCGCGGGGGGAGGGCAACCGCCAGGCGACGGGCGCTCGCCGGTGGTTTTGCTCTTTAGAAGCCGCAGTTGGCAGGAAGAGGCAAGGCTCTTTAGGTCCTTTTCGAGAGCTCTGTTGTCTATACGGCGGGCAGTGTAAGAACCGAGGAAAGACCACTGATTGCACAATTGTCTAGAAATCGAGTGACTGATGCGGCGTGAGCACTCCAGATATGAAAATGGAATGCTCTTTAGGTCTATCACGATCTAATCGCTTTGATAATTTGGTTTGACTTAAATTATCTATATATAAAATAAAGGTCTATCAACACAAGGGAGGACGATAAAGAGCTACCTACACTAACAAATAAAATAAAATAAAGAAATAACCAAAATAGTTTTCTCTCCGTCAATAAAAGATTTTTTAATAGGACAAAAAGAATAAGAAAATGGTGCATAGTCATCAAAGAATCAAAGAACTGTAAATATTGCCTTATCCTCTATGGTAAATTTTCTTTTAAGATAAAGTAAATATAAAAAATAAAAGAAAATTTGAGTTTTAACAATGCCAATAGCTACTCTCTCTCGTCACATAACAAAGGGAAGGGTAATGCGGTGCTACATACGCCATAACAGCTACGTGAAGCAAAACGTGAACCCACATTACGAGCTATCTAATTCAGGATTGCCCTATGTTACATCAAAGTAGTAACTCTCCAGAGATATCAGATTCCTCCAAGTATAACGATGTCAACTAGTGCCTATCATGAAACCAGCACTATGACACCTTATCCAAACTAAAAGCTCTCAAGCACGAGCACACACAGGAGAAAGTGAAAGCAACGTCCACCCAATATTGTTGCTTTCCTCTTAGGATACTTAAGAAGCTGTGTGTGCAGCCAAACCCCATGTTGCCCCACCTGTGCCCCCTACCGTTATCTAGCAATATCATGGATGGTTTACTACGTGACAGGAGGATAACAGATTAGAATATATGCATCCTAAGCTGAGAACACGATAGCTTTCACAAGGCTAAACCATCTTGATTTCAACTTATAAATTAGCATCAAGCATCAGCTTAAAGATTCAAATAACTCGAGAAATTTGTAATGAGGATGTACCTTGCAGGGTCGATTGCATGTGATAGACTCCGAAGCACTGTGCAGTGATACTGCACTAATTAGTAGAGAAATCATGTTTCTGAAGTGCAGGTGTTGATGTTGATTTCAGAATAAAATGCTCGACTAGCTGCGATTTTGACATGAGAGGAAAAGCTATGAAAAAGTTGTCCAAGTCGGCTTATTAGAATGTGGAAAATAATTGATGTTGGAACACACCAGAGATCTTTTTTGGAGGAAGGCCAAATTATGATGCTTAATTTTCAACATCTTCGTGCAACATTCTCAAAGGCCTGCAAGCAAGAAATTCACTCATCAGTCGTCACAACGTTAAAGTAAAACAAGAGTTGTCATAATCTTAATGGTCGATAATATCTCAAGCTTACCCATCTCACTCCTACTGAGCAACATTTTAGAGCACTTCTAACATCCCTCTGTCATGATTGATATCTAGTATTGACAAGCTTATAAACTATATGCAAACAACAAAAACCTTAATCACGGTTGGCTGTGGTAATAGACAAACTTTTGAGGATTGTAACACGAGGTAGCAGTTTGTGAAGTTCCTACTATGAGCAGAGTATACATATCCCACACTACCTTTAGTCTGTCTTCAGACAACCAAACTGAATCAAAGTATTATGTCATGCTGGATTTTTCTTGTACTTTTTCTTTTGAGGGGACATCCAGATGGAATACATAGTACTTTTCCAATTTGTATGAACATGCACATAAACAGAAATATTATGAAGTCCTAAGAACATCAATGTCAATACTTTCGCTGATTTAAAGGCATGGGGAGGAAAGGGCTGCAGTACAATACAAAGGAGCTCAGAAAAAATTCAGATGATATGTTGGTTTCTCAGTAAATGTGGCTAATTAGAATGAATTGTTTTATCTCGCTGCCACTAGTCAGAGTTAGAAACAAAATAAATATATCTCTGCGACAGGATTGTTTAGAAACAAAAACAAGTCAACAAAATAAATACATTTGGAGTAAGGCCAAAGGCAGGAGGAGGGAAGGCCACAAGCGTGGACAAGGTTATCAGTGATGATGTTGATGCATGTCCCTCTGAAAAGCATATTCTGAACCTCTTAAAGGTCGAACAAGTAGAAAATGCAACATGGATGGCTTTCCGCTGGCTTTTAAGGTGGCATGGATTTGATGTATGTTTAAGTGGGAAAAGATAAATAAAAGCAAGAATGACCATCACCTTTTGATTGTTACGTATGTTACCAAATAAGCAGACAATAAGTAAAATGTTTTACGCAACTATAATTACAAAAAAAAAAAAAAAAAACTAGCACTGCAGAGTTACAGAGATCGTAATGAAAAGCTATGAAAACTGTATATTGATGATAATGTGTTCATATTTCCTATTCTTGTGTGCTTAAGGTCTAACTTCAGTCGTTCATAAACCAATAATCATCATAAGCTGGAAGCATGACATAAGAAGCTTAATGAACAAACCTTATGGCACACATCTACTGCAGTATTATGTTTCATGGTAAATGAGTAAATCAATACAACTCAGTTCTTATTATGGAAATACCGTCACACATTACAAACATTCATACTAAGGTACACTTTGCAAATAATGGCCTGTGAAAAAAAGCTAGATGGAAATTGAAGGAAACCAGCAAATTGCTGACCACCATAGATTCTTATTTTCGAGATTCTAGGATGATAATGAAGCAGCCTTTCTGGACTTATGGTAGAGTTGGAAAAAAACTATAACAGTATAAAAGAAAGCAAGGATGGCCATAGACTATAGAGTGATTTAACTTTGCAAAAATAGTAGCCACGTTTAACTTTACTCGTTCCCTCAAAAATAACTGTTAAGGCACATAAGAAATGGGAAAGGATACAAAAGAAAATAAAGAGCATAACGAAAGGTTTTGGATTAAACAATTTCTTAAAAAAGTTGTCATGATAAAACATGTACACTCGCAAGTGTCATGTAAGCTGTCAGTGCAAGCATATCCTAAACAGATGCAGTCAAAGCCTTTGCAACTTATATTGTAGTTTCCAAATGGAAAGATTACATTATTACACAACATTCATAAACATAATTCTAGTCAACACAAGCATTCTGCAAGGGAAAACTCAAGGTAAGCTGTTTAAGTATTGGAACTTTCAGTTCAACTAAAAATAATAAGCTGATTTCAGGTTCTCTTAGAATAATGGACCATATCATCAACACAACTAGGGAGATAAAAGAAAAACAACCCCTATAAAGCAGACAGAACCCAAAAGCAATGGGGATCAGCATACAGAGAATCTTGAAAAGAACGTTCCTGCTTTGACTTGCAACTCGCAGACATGCATCACCCACAAACAATCAAAACATAACCTGCATCATTAATGCTTCTAAAACCATCCACAAATTATTTAGCATCTAAAATTCGAAGTAATTAAGTTGTCCCACAAGCTCAATTGTCTTGACCTTAATATCCCAATGAATTTGGAAGCAAAAAAGAAAGAGCAATATGAAAAAGCAGGGAAGGCATAACTTGCAGACAATGATGACCAATGTTATTCATACACATAGATGGGGGAGAAAACAGCAGGGAAAAAATATGGTACACCAACAGGCACAAGACTAATGCCGCAGTCAGAAACTGAAAACAAAGAGTTAGCTACTTACCTTATCAAAATGATTTGACAATGGTACATATTTTTGTGCCTTAAGGTGATATATTGAAATAACAGTGAAACTATATCCAATTAGTTAAAGTTGTAGCTTCTAAATATCAATGTTTCCTTTTAAATAGATAAATATTGGGCTGGAATTAAACCTTTACTACAAAAATTTAAGAAATGAGAATTGAACAGGATCATTGCTAGACTAAACTAAATTCGAACTACCTTTTTTTAATTTTAGGTACTCAAGTACATCAAGATAATGCTCATAAAATGATATTTCGTTGCAAAGAGAACACAGATACAACAAGTTTTGATAAAAATCTTTTAATTGCTCAAATCAAGAAATCCATATATGATATGTCAAAGTAGTTGATGAACCTTAGGCTTGTACGCCTAGATTTCTTCTTACAAACAAGACAACATGTTGCTACTTATGCACCATCTCTCCTGTTTGATGCAATGCACAACAAGAATCACAAATGAGTTATGCACACGGGGTTTCTTTATCTAATAAAGGAAGTACAATATGGATCGAAGTCTCCAAGAAAGGGATATGATTATGCATTAATATCCAGATCAATAAGTACATCCACCTTACTCACGAAGAACCAAAATCTCTACTTATCAACGGGGAGAATCATTGTGCTACTCATAGATCAACCGGAAAGAGAAAACGGAAAGAAGATTGAAGCATCACACATCGTGAACAAAGACGATCAGATCTGCTCCTGTTTATGCTAATCCTTGACCATAAGAAAGATGAACAACAAGAGAAGGAGAGCAATCGACATCAAGTTAAGAGGAAAAGCAACTGAAAGATCAGATCAGAAAGAGAATGGAAGGCGAGATCTACCTCCACCTCTGGCTCCGCCATCTCTGTTCTTCCACCCGCAGTCTTTCCCTCTCTTTCTACCCTCTTGAATAAGTGTGAGATGCTCCTCAGCGCGGCTGCCCTTTTATAGCCTCGATCAGTTGCGCTCGGCCTAAAATGGTTCTTTATTGGGCCAAATCCGGTCTGGCCCATCAATAAATTTAAGTACCCAATTCTATTTGGCCCGCTTAAAGATGATAGTTCAGATGAATAAAAAGGCGAATTCTCGGAAAAACTCATAATTTTCTATTTTCTCGAAAAATATCTTTTTTAATATTTTCAAAAAGATATATTTTATTTATCATAACCCTATAAAATATTCTTTAATATGACAATTTATCCAATCCCTCATGCATATATATATATATATATATATATATATATATATATATATATATATATATATATATATATATATATATATATATATATGTTGAAGCGTATTATTTAGTTTCTTGGAAGTTCCTGCTCTCGAATCATCTAGGAATGGCAGATCAGCAGCAGCAGGCTCCACCGTCGGAGCCAGAGAGAGGCGATGCCGCGGCGTCCCGAGCTAGGCTGTCTTCGAGGTCCCCCATGGGGGCGGAGGGGCACCCGGCTCAACTGGAAGCGCCGCCCGTACCGTCCCCGCCGCAGCGGGAGGAGATGATGGCCTGCGTGGTGGCGCTTGAGGCGGCGCTTCTCCCTTGCCTCCCCGCCCGCGAGCTCCAGGCCGTCGACCGCTCCGTCCACTGCTCCCACCAGAGTCAGTTCCCTAACGCCTTCTGATCCATCTCCTTCTTTCTTGCTCGCTGAATCCGTTTTTGGTAGAAAAAGTTGGGAGCTTAGAGATCACTCATCTTTGTAGCTTAGAATTCCAGTCACTATTGGTAATGCGGGATAGATCAGAACTTTGGATTAACGTTTCCTTGAATAGATCGCCAAAGCTTCAGTGCCTACTTGCCAGGTTTTCATGGGTCCAGTGTCTGGGACAGGTGAAGATGGTAATCTGAACAGATAGATGTTTGTTGTTTTGCTTCAATGACAATGGGCCATAGCTTCGTTGCCAAATTTTGTAGACCTAATATAGAGGTAATCATGCGTATGGTTGCTGAAGACTGACATTTGGCCATTAGGTGTTTGTTGATTTGCTCCAACGAGAATTATCTTGAGCATGCCATCGTGAATAGCTAGTCGGTTGAAAACTCTGGATACTTTGGGCTTGCTGCTTTGATATAAGAATTGCAACATTGAATAGAAAAAGGAGAGAGAGAAAAGAACAAGTTGCTGAATCCTAGTTTTGCTCATCAATGGAATTAGATATATTGCTGGTTAAGTTCACTCAACATAGCATTTGCTTATGTCAATGTACATGGAATTGTATGTCTGCATCCACAAGTCATGTTGGATACGTATCTGTTCTACAGTCACTTATTGAACTCTTTAATGATACAAAATAAAGAATATTCACATGAATGTGTATATATAAGAAGGAAATCCTTTTATTACTATAAGTTCTTTCATTAATTTGACTTTCAGTATTTCACATTGTTAGAACATTATAACTCCTTGTGACACATGGATACATGTCCATGTCAGATTTTCATGCCCATATCCATGAGTTAACTTTTGTGAGAAGCGGAAAATCTAATGCATGTCATTCATGGTACTGTATCTGTCGGGTAGCAGTGTTGAACCACAGCGATGTTTGGTAATTTACTAACCAGGGAAATTTTCTGCTTCTGATTATATTCTGGTGCTTATGTTTGATTAATCTTAACCTTAGGGTTTTGAATAAAGCATGTTGATATCACAAGATCAGATCTGCAGAAATAGCACTTTGTGTAACGTAGTTGGGACCTTTAGATCAACTAAACATATGATCATAATTGCTTAATTATCTCATTTTCATGGTTATTTGCTTAGTTTGGGCGCTTTGTAATGTGGAGAGTTGAAGTTTAAGCTAGTAACTGATACTTTATGGTTTTAAAACTAGTTGTTGAGATATTTTATCATCAAGGAAACATGATCATCCGTTTTATTCATTTTTGTTTGTCTTTGTCACTTGCTCTCCTGGAACTTGCCATCAGATTTGGATGGAATAATATTATGAAAGGTTGTGTTATTACACCTTGGAGTGCAACTTCTAGATACTACTGTTAAATCCCTTGAGGCGAGCTCTATGATGGTACGGAATAAAAATATCCTGAAAATAGAAGTTCATCTCTGCTGAAACCACAAAAGATTCAAATAGCTTCATAGCCACTATGGATTTTTTGGGACAAGAGATCTGAGTTACCAAAAATTTACTTACTGATATTTGCATCTTTAAAGAAGTATGCTTTTCTAGAGAAGAATCTCATATACTGGAGATCCGCTTTATATGTATGTGTTTGCAATGAGATCTTTAACATGCATGGAGACTGTTGTTTATAGTGTGTTGGTCCTTCTACAACTGGAAAAGAACTAGTTTGTGGAGATATCTGGCAGTTATTGCTGACACCATTGCAGTAACATGGCTCTACTTTCATATGAATTGGTTGTTGTTATCCATGATAAGTACCCAGGAAAGCATGGAAAGAAGAGTCAACTTTTCTATTTGTATATGATTCCTCGAATTTATACTGATTTAGAGAGCTTGACTCGTCTTTGCAACTAAATGAAATAGAACAGCAAGAATATGAAACTCCAAAGACAAGGGTATATATAATGTCTTTGCTTTTGTTTGACAGAATTACAATTGCTTCATTCTTATTATTGACAAGATTGTAACGTTTTCCCGTGTTGAAATGAAATATTTAGATTATTTTCTTTTTGACATTTAGTTTATCTCATTGCTATTGCTTAAGATCATAAGAGTACATGAGATTAGCTAGCCTTTACATTAGTTCATCATTGATCATAATTGTGTTTATGGTCGGACATGTTTGATCTCTCCAGTTTTACTGGTCTGACCAAGAATCAGCATACAGATTGATTGAACAAGTTCATCTGATTTGGTTCAAAATCAATTTATTTATTTATATTTTTAATAAAGACAACTAACATTTATTTACTTTACTCTCTCTCTCTCACAATCGATCGAGTGGCTCTATTGTTATATCGCCTGTTGCTTTGTCACCACCGTCACTGCCCATTAGCTCACCATTGCCTTGCCACCAATTCTCGTCCTCCTCCCCCTCCTACTATGCTTTTCCTTCTCTTCTGGAGATGCTCGGCCTCCTCCACTCTTCTCTTCCTCTTTCCCTTTGACCTGGGTTGCCTGGGACACTGATGTACTATGTGTTGTTATACCAGTATATATCGGTTCCGTATCTATCCAACCAGGGACTGGTTTTGGTCTCGAACCGAAACTTGAATCTTTGGATCGGAATTCTTGGAACATTACAATTACATAACTTTGTTGTAATACACTAGGAATCCTAACAATTCACTATGGTTCTATAGTTACTTATTTCTTTTAAATTTGATAGTTAGTTATTTTGTTCTTTTCTTTAAGGTTCTGCTAAATTGCAATTCGTGAATGACAAAAATAACGGTTTATATGTGGTTGTTCGTTTCATTTTCTATTTCTTCTGTTTCCTTGGGGAGCTTAAATATAATGGTCTAAATTATCTGCAAACTCTTCACACACACACACACATGAAAACCTTGTCAAGTATGTAGAAGCATCATATGTGATTCATTAGTTGCATATCCATAAATTAGGGCTTGTATTTCTAGCATGGATTCCTGTCAACAATCAACATTGATCTTCGACCGATTGTCTCTAGTTGATGTTGAACGACACGCACGAGAATTTATGGAGGCCGCTAAAAAGCTCCAACTGTATTTCGTCGGGCTGCAGCGTGAGGACGAACCCACCAAGGAGGAAATGCTTCGCAAGGTACACTTTTGTGTGTGCAAATTTAAAGGTTTCTCATGCATCTTTGCTTGAAACTAAAGATGAAGCCGAGTGGTTATATTCATCTGGAATCATATGTTTTCCAGGAGATATCCGTGATGGAGGAAGAGTTAAAAACTAAAACCGAGTTGATCAAGAAGCATCAGAGGCTGATTGATGGGTGGAGGAAAGAGTTAAAAGAACAGCTGGAGAAGCACGTCACAGAATTGGAGACGGTGTAGAACCTGGAATTTGCATTCAACCACGAGGAAAGTTTTTGTGCTAAACAAGGAAGAAATGATCCTTTTCTGGCTTACTTAACTGCCCAACGATAACAGTTTTTATGTGCTAAAAGTTTGATTAGAATAAAATGCAATGTCAGCATATACTTCTCGATAGTCTTGGTAGGTTTAATCCCTTTGCTATAATACTATATGATGACATTGGAAGGTATCCAAAGGTTTACCCTATTGAGAAACTGAGTTCCATGAGCTTCAAATTATGGTTTTTACCTTGTGGGATTCAAGATAGAAGACTATTTTCTTTTGGATCAAGCTCAGATCATAATTCCTTTTCTTTTTCCGTAGCATGTAATAGGCACCACCACCACAGACTAAAGGGACACTGAAAGTTAAGAAGAGAGTGTATGGAACGATACCCAGAACACTGGCAGCGTCTGAAGAGATTCTCTTGCAAGTATTAGGTACAAAATCCAGCCACCTACATGGGTGAAGAAGAAGACGACATGGAAGAACAATTACGGATTGCTGTACAAAGAACAAAGCTTTAGTGTAAATTTACAGTTGTTTGCCAGCGCGCGTTGGACAAGCTTGGCTCTTCTAACCCTTAGGATAGGCTGTTGAAGGGATTGGCTCTTCTGACCCTTAGGATTGTTGGCTGTTGAAGGGATTGTAAGACCTATCAGAATTAAGTACCACAGATTAGCAAACACCCTTTAGATCTCTGAGTTTTTAAGGAAGAAACGTCAATCTTTGCCAACTACTGACTGGAGGCCACAACAAACGGTAAGAATCTTCAACAGGGAGAATTCAAGGTGTCAGTTTGAAGTACCTTAATCTTTAGACAAGCCCTGCAGAAAACATCTTCACAATTAAATCGAAGAAAAGAGGATAGATGTAAAGCAACTCACCTCACCGGGCAAGCAAGTTTACCTTCTTAGGAGCTGCTTTTGTTGTGTTGGAGCTGCCTGGAGTAGATATGGGATCATGAGGTTTCAATATCTCAAATGAACAGCACAGGCTTTCATCTATGCTCAACAATGCACCTGCATTATCGAACTCCCCGCAGTAGTTTGGCGCTGAAAATAGAGTAACTAATTTTCGTTCTCCGAAAAACTCGTATCCATCCTCAACTACCTAGGATAAAATTTTATGTGAGTTGTACATTTGTATCGCATGAGTGGATGGATATATAGGAACCGAAGTGAGTAGGAAGAAGGAAAAGGGAGGAGGAAAAAGCTCTACTAACTTGATGACCGCGGCATACTAGATCAAGATCATGCTTTTCCAAGAACTCTGCAAGTTTATCAGCGCCAAAGGTAACTGAAACCCCGCGATTGCTTTCGCCCCATCCTTGATTCTTAGGATCAGGATCAGACCACAGTAGATCACAGAGAAGGCCATAGTCTGGGATTTCAATGGGCCTTGAGATTTCTCTAATTTGATCCAAGCTATTTAGCTCCGGTGAAAGGCCCCCGTGCATGCATAATACCTTTTTATCAATCAGTGCTGCCATGGGTAAGCAATTAAAGCAATCACAGAATGTCTTCCATAGTCGAACATTGAATCTCCTTTTACATTCGTCGTAAAATCCATAGACTCTGTTTATTTTTGCATCTTCATGATTGCCACGTAGAAGAAAGAATTTATCAGGGTATTTGACTTTATATGCCAAGAGCAAACATATTGTCTCCAAGCTTTGTTTGCCCCTATCCACATAGTCTCCGAGAAATAAATAAGTCGAATTAGGAGGGAAGCCACCTATTTCAAACAGCTTGAGAAGGTCGAGATATTGTCCATGAATATCACCTGTAATATATATATATATATATATCTCATGCATTAAAACAGAAAAATATCTTTATCCAAGTAATGTAATTCACTGTTTAACAGACACACACAACAAAAGATACACTTAACTTTGCTAATCTAATAAGTATTTTATAAAACCATTAGCGTGCATAAAGTTATGGCAAACCACAATTTTGCCGAACTAATTTCCAACCTAAAAGCCAAAAAAACAACACTATGATTTCAAATATTTTGAATCACGACATCTGATTAGCAAAGTTTTAACTACTAAAATTTCTTTGAAACTTAACACTTACCAATCATCGAAATTATATCCAGTAAAATTTCTTTACAAAACTTAAGTACAAAATGACTTGAAAACCTTTAAGTAATCATTGACATATTTCTCAAATTCACTAATTAAGTATGTTGTCATGAAATGTAATGGTCATATTAATAATATGCAATGATCATCTAAGACGTTAGAGGCAAATTGTAACACCCCAAACAATCCTACACTATAAATAGAAGAAGGAACAAAGTTCTATGTATGACTTGAATGCTCCTCGTAATAATTTGAGCTTTAAGCATTTTAGGATGCATGTAGCAAACTAAAAACTTACTTTGTCATGACACATTTGGTTATCTTGACATCAAGAATGATTATCTCAATAGTTATATAGACCAATATTTCAATGAAGATATTAGGTAACTTAATAGTCATCTGAAAAATGAATGACTAATTATAGATTATCCCTTATAATTAACTATCCTTAGTATTTCAATCTCTATACTTTCAAAAGTTATATTGAGATCTTTATATTTACGAAAGTGAGACATTTAATCCCATTGTTTCAATAAAACCATCTATCTTTCTTATTTTTAATATTATAAAATTATATTTTAAACCATGTATAAGGATCTCAATATTTTACCTAATCTAATATATTTTTTGAAAACTATAGAGATCAAAATGCTAAAGTAGTTAATTATGAAAAATAATTTATAATTAGCTCGAAAATGAAATATGTTCTTTATGACAAAAGTCTGCAACATATGTGGACGAAGCAAACGGATGGAAGAGTAAAGGAAAAGGTCCTCTCAGAATATTAAGCTATTAGGAAAAAGCCCCAAATTTATGTTTGGCTCATCTACAGACGAAGGATCTGCAGATTTGCCCTTTGGACGTGAGCAAACAGTAGTTCGTGCTGAAGCTTTTGACCGAAGAGAAGGAAGACAAAAGGGAGATATACGACGAACATTGGCCAAGCAAGATGATGTGCCAAACAAGATCACCCTATTCGAACGGCAACCAAATAAGACCAATTCCTAGAGCACGAATCAAGAAATCGAGGAGAGAATGCAGCGATGCGGCAAAGGAACGGAGAGTGAATGCAGCAAAGGAGTACGAGAGAACCGACCGCAGATCTTGATGGGGGGGTGGAGGTCGAGGAGGTTGGGCTGGGCGAGGAAGACGTTCTTGGCCTCGAGGCAGAGTTGACGGATCTCCGCCTCCGACAGCTGGACCTGGCGGCCGCTCCGCCTGCCCTCCAGCAGCCGGTGTATCACGTCGTCGAGCACCGCCCCTTCCATGGCCCCCATCGAGCTCTTCGTCGTCATCATCTTCCCCCCTTCGTCGTATCGGTGGCGGGGGAGGAGGAGGCGACGACGGGGACGACCCCTTTTTTATTTTCCGTTTATTTATTTGAAGAAGAATGATTCAGAGGCGCGGCGATGCGAAATAGGCGTTAGTTCGGAGCCCACGAGCATTTGGTACGCGCCCAATTTACGCGCGCGACCGACGTCCCATCTGGGCCACCTCGGCGGGCAACCGCTACACGTCCGTGGGGTCCAGCATTTCCCGCGCTTCAAATTTGGGCCTGCGATGGTGGTAGAAAAATATTCTCCATTTACTAATTGGTATTTATTTTTGTGTCCGAGAGAGTTTATCGGTAGAAGAAAGTGCAGAGGCGTTGGGAGTCATCAACGCTAGTTGACTGTCCTTCATATTCTGGATCAAAATGCTTGCACCATATCTTTTTACCTATTCTGGGCCTTACAGATTAAGGTCCATCTTTTTTGCCTCAAGAAGATTGAAGGAGAATTAAGGTTCATCTATTTGGGATGTTTCTACCAAATTTTTGGCATTAATTAGTGAATCTCATGAATTAAAAAAATGTGAGCTTATAACTATCGAGTCCAATATAGATTCATCAATCCGCTAGTTTCATATATAACATGTGTCTACGTGGATTAATTATTTTATTGTGTTTATACATCATCAGACATATTTGTGAACGTTTGATCTTTGTTATTAGAACTAGTCAAGGCAATGGGTGGATGATGAGAATGAGAGTCGTGTTAGTGAACCGATGCATCGTGGTCGATGAGTCAACACAGCTTGATCAATGGGTCAATGTCGGGAACTCACGATCGATTGGAAGAAGTGCTGAAGCCGACTTATATTGGGAAGGTCGGGATGCTGATGTCGTCTGTGGGAAGGCGTCTCTTGGTCGGGGCGCTGACACCATCTTCCGGGAGGGCGTCTCTCGATCGGGACGCTGACACCGTCTTTCGAGAAGGCGTCTCTTGGTCGAGGCGACCGTGCCTCCGGGGGTGGTTGAGCTCCTGCACAAAAGACCCTCGTCGGGTGGGTGGGGTTCCCGACTTTGGCCCCTCGTAGATTAAGTCAGTAGTTGCTACTTTTCCTTTTCCCTTTCTTCTTCTTCCTTGTCAGATGCTGGTTATGGGCTTTTATACTATTGCGCAAGGATCGATTGTACGTGGACTTAGCGTGGCAATCGATCCCTGAGTGGCGAGGTGGTACCTTCGTGCGACCGCCGCCCGGAATGCACGGAATGGTACCATGCGACACCGTCCCGAGCTTTCCAGGATAGGACTTGCCGAGGAGTGCCTCCTTGATACGGATTTTGACTCGACGTGGGGAAGTACCTCTCGTGCTGACTTGGTAGGGGTATGGCTGTGACGTGGTTGGATTCCAAAATTTGCCTTACCAAGTCGGACTTCCTAACTTACTGCTTACCTTGGAACACACAGATCCTCCGTTACTTCAAGTTGTTCTCTCTTCCCAATAATATTGGAGCTGCACAGAAGATTCAACATAAGTTGATGCAAAATCTGTGACCAAATAAACACTGAATCGACCTGAACAGTGGAAAAAAGAAGGGAAATGCATTGCAGTTGCAAGAATAATCCATTACTAATCCCTTCCAAGAGGAGCCATAAACGAAATCATATAGAGGTGTGACATTTAAGAGAGAGAGAGAGAGAGAGAGAGAGAGAGAGAGAGAGAGAGAGAGAGT